TCCATGTTAATCTAGATTCAACACAACTTCAGCTCAAAATTTCAGCATGCTATTTATTCATTTAATATGATACTGAGGTTTGAACTCAGGGCCTGTGCTTGGTAGGCAGGCACTCTACAGCTTGAGCCATGCCTCTAGCCTGTGCTTTTTTTTTTTTATGGGAGAATACAAAAATGCTGGGGTCTTATAAAAATACCCACAAACTGGAAACACTCCAAATGTCCTTTAACCATATAAAGAATAGATTAAATGTGGTATATTCAAATAATAGAATACTACACAGAAATGAATATTAATGAACCACAGATACATGCAATAACATTGATGACTCTCACAGACATTTGGAGTAAAAGAAGTCAGATACAAAGAGCACATATCTTATGAATGATTTATATGAAGATTGCAATGAGCCCAAACAATGTCATCGTGGTGACATGAGCAATGGCTATCCTTGGGGAGGACTGACCGGGGAAGAGGACAAAGGAATCTTCTAAGATACTGGAAGTATTCTGTAGCTGGATCTAGATGGTAGTGATGAAGGTGTATATATATGTAGACCCAGTTCAGTGTATGTAGAGTAGAAAACAGGAATTAGGCTTTTCAGTACATTATTCCATAGAGAGCCTGCCTTGCAAACTCAAAGTCCTGACTTCAAATGCCAGTCTGGCTAAAAACAAAAAAGCAGAAACAAATCCTAAAACATTATTCCATTTAGTTGGTTGAGGTAGAGACTGGAGAAAACAATAACTGTATTGCAAATCCAAAACTCAAGAAGGTGATTAAAAAGGCATGTGCCTGGAACAGTGCCTGGAAATGAACTTGATTCAATCATGGAGTTTCTAAAATAAGATGAACAATATCGGATGGTTTAACTCTAGCAAAAGAATGAAAAAAGAATGATGTTAAGACTACTGGAGGGCCAGGTGCCAGTGGCTCATGCCTATAATCCTAGCTACTCAGGAGGCAGAGATCTGGAGGATCGTGGTTCTAGGTCAGCTGGGGAAATTTAGACCCTATCTCAAAAAAAAAAAAAAAAAAAAAGCCATCACAAAAAAAGGGCTGGTGGAGTGGCTCAAGGTGTAGGACCTGAGTTCAAGCTCCCCCACACCAAAAAAAAAAAAAAAAAACAAACAAACAAGTGGAGGAAATGAGGGATTTTTGTAGAAGCATGGTAGATATTATGGTCTATCCCAACAGGCTTTTTTGGTAGAAATTAAGAACTGATTTTATATTCCATATGGAAATGCACACAACTTAGAAGGGCTAAGACAACCTTTTTTGGGAGGGAGGGGTACTGGAGTTAAACTCAGGCCCTTGTACTTGCTAGGCAGGCCGGCATTCTACCACTTGACCCCACTTTCCCAGACTTGAGCCAAGACAATCTTGAAGAAAAACAAATCTGGGAGACTTTATCTGACTTCAGAACTAAGAAATTAAGCTAAGTAGTTAGAGTGGTACTGGTATATGGGCAGGTAAGTATGTTAGTGGAACAGAATTGAAAGTTGAGACATAGACCCGAAGGTGAAAATGCAGTTCAGTGGAGGGAAGAAAAAGTGTTCAGTAAACAGAAGAAGCAACTGAACATATGAGGGGAAAATGAAGCTGGCCTCTGTCTCACACTATATGCAAAAATTAATTTGAGGTGGATAATACATTTTTCTAAGTAGGAGAGCTAAAACTGTAAAACATCTAGAAGAAAATATTCATGAACTTTGGGGTAGGCAAAGATTTTTTCCATGTGACAAAATAATTCTCAAATTGAACTTCATTAAAATAAAAAATTTCAGCTGGGCACTGGTGGCTCACGCCTGTAATCCTAGCTATTCAGGAGGTTCGAAGCCAGCCTGGGAAATAGTTCATGAAACCCGATATTGAAAAAACACCCCCCAAAAAGGGCTGGTGGCTCAAGGTGTAGGCCCTGAGTTCAAACCCCATTACTGCAAAAATAAATAATAGGTAAAAAATTTCCAATCATTAAAAGACAATACCAAAGAAAAGGAGGGCTGGATGTCGTGGTTCTTGCCTGTAATCCCAGCTAATTGGGAGGAGGTGATTGGGAGGATTGAGGTTCTAGGCCAGCCCTGGCAAAAAGTTAGCAAGACCCCATTTCAATAAGTTGGGCATTGTGGCACACACCTGTCAACCCACCTATGCGGGAGGCATAAGTGGGAGGCTCGTGGTCAAGGCTGGTCAGACAAACCCTTCCTGAAAAACAACTAATAAAAAAAGGGCTGGAAGCATGGTTCTAGTGGTACAGTGCTGGTCTAACAAGTGTGAGGCCCTGAATCCAAACTCCAGTACTGTGAAAAAAAAAAAAAAAAAAAGGAAAGAGCAGACAGAGAGAGAGAGAGAGAGAGAGAGATCCAGAGGGAGTCCTACTGGAAAATACATTTCTCAATATAAATGTCTGGCAAAGATCTGGTCTTAGGACATTAATAACCACACATCAAACAACCTAATTTATAAAATGGACTCTAAGAGGAATGCTTGTAAACAGGCACTTCACAGAAGATAGCCTACTGATCAGCAAGCATCTGAAAAGGTGACAAAAAAATACAAATCAATACTAGGAGATATCACAATACACCCACCAGAAAAGCTAAACTTCAAGTCTGACAATACCAAGTGTTGTGAATGTGGAGCAACTGCAATCCTCACATTGTGCTGGTGGAGTACAAAATGGTACAGCACGTTTGGAAAACTTGAGTAGAACTTACAAAAACAGTGCTGGACCAAGTGTGGTGGCAATGTGTCTATAATCCCAAACCTGAACTGGGGAGGCTGAGGCAGGATGAAGGTGAATTCCAACCCAGCCTAGACTCCATAGGGAGACCCTGTCTCAAGCAAACACAAAAAACATGCCGCTAGGCTGGGGGGAGTGGGTCAGGCAGCACAGCACCTGCCTAGCAAGCACAGGGCCTGAGTTCAAACCCCAGTAATGCAAAATACAAAACAAAAACCAAACAAAATCACCAAAACAAAAACCCACTGCTCACCTAAGACCCAGAAATTCCACTATGTATATTCTCAAAAGAAGAGTACACAAAAAGACTTGTACACAAATGTCCATGTAAATAGCAGTTTTACCCATTATTTCCACAAATTGGAAACTACCCAGATACCCACTAACAGAATAAACTTTTTGTTTTTCCTGGCCCTGGGGTTTGGACTCAGGGTCTACACCTTGAGCCACTCCACCAGCCCTTTTCTTGTGAGGGGTTTTTTCAAGACAGGGTCTCTCCAGCGATTTGCCCAGACGGACTTCAAGCCGAGATCCTCCTGATCTTTGCCTCCTGAGTAGCTAGGACTACAGGTGTGGGCCACCAGCACCTGGCTGAGAACAAAGTTTGACATACTAGTGAATAAAATACTACACGTCAATGAAAAGATATATACAAATGGATGATTTTCAAAAATATCGTGTTGAGTGGAGATGCTAGACATAACAGTACATGCTGTTTTGAAATAACATTCAAAAACAGGCAAAAATACTGCTACCTAAAATCCTTGGGTCACTCCCCAGAGGAGAGGCAACAAGACACACACACTTTTTTTTTTTATTGTCTTTTTCCTCCCACCGTTGGTTTTGGCCTATGCTACACTTCAGATTTCTATTTTGTGTTGAACTTGCTGCTTTTTTTCTTATTGAAAAGATGACATTAGCTGGACATCGGTGGCTCACGCTTGTAATCCTAGCTACTCAGGAGGCGGAGATCAGGAGGATTGTGGTTCACAGTTAGCCTGGACAAATAGTTCTCGAGATGCCATCTCAAAAAAAACTCATCATAAGCCAGGTGCCTGTTCAAGCACCATCCAGTTCAAGCACCAGAATCATAAAAAAAAAAGGATGTGATGGAAATACTGTTTCTGAATTGGTGGTGGTTACATAAGCTGTACATTTACCATATGTGTACATTGCTATAGGTAAGGTATGACTCCAGTAAAGAAAATGGGAAGAATTTATGGATTATCTAGAAAATTTTAAAATCACTATGAAAAACAGTAAAATGGATGCAGCTAAAGCTATACTCAGAGGAAAATTTATAGTCAATATTTTCATTATAGCAAAAGTGATGATAAATGGACTCTATTTAATTCAATAAATGATTAAAGATAAAGTGAAGCCAGGTGTGGTGGTTCAACCCTGCAATCCCAGCACTCGGGAGACTGAGGCACCAGGATTGTGGGATATGTAGATTGTCAAAAAAAAAAAAAGGTTAAAAACGATAAAATGAACAAAACTAAGGAATTAAGAAGAAAGTTGAAGGTAAAGAAAAAAAAAGAAAATGAAAGAAAACACGATTTCTTTGATGATACGAATAAAATAGAGCAACTCTGGTTCAGAGAGTATTTGGGTTCCACCAGTGGTTCTCGTGTATTTTGCTTTTCAACTTCGGTGCCATGTTCTTTACGGCCATGAGGATGGAATTTGATCAGGAATCCATTCATTTTTTAAAACCGAAATCTGTTGACCACGGAGATCCTAAAGACACTTTTATAATGCGACAGAAAAGACCAGTTTAAGAACTGTGATTTCTCCTGCCCTTTCTGCCGCAGGTAGCAGGTGCCGGGCGGTCTACACCCGCCAGCTCGCCAGGGAAAGGATGGCTTCTACCCATAGGTAGTGTCTCCATTTTGGACATGAGGTTACCCAGGGGTGCCGGCCGAGATGTAGCTGTGAACTCGTGCCTGACCCAGGTCTCCCCAGGTCAGGAAGAGAGGATGAAGGTAGCGAGGCGATTAAATGGGCTCCGGTTGGGAGTGCGCGCGCAGGTCCCGTTAGAACTGCGGAACCGAGCCGGCAGGTGCAGGTGCAGGTGCAGGTGACGCAAGGGGCGGGTGGGCGGGCGTTAGGCCGCCAGGTACCGCTGGAGGGCAGGCGGGGCCGGGGCAGTTCGGCGCAGCACTCCCTCTGCTTGCAGAAAACCGGGCGGCGGGAGCGCGCGCGAGCGGCGGAGGCGCGCGGCGCTGCGAGGCCTGCGCACCAGGCTGCTGGAGCCATGCGGCGGGCAAGGAGCGTTGTGGCCACCAAGCAGCGCGGGCAGAGGCGATCGGGGGCTTCCACGGCCCCCGTGGCCGCCGCTTCTGCTTCGGACAACAGCCGCGCACGGCGCTCCAGCAGCAGGGCCGGGGGTAGGAGCCGGGCGGCGAGCAGACCGCCGTCGGCGAAGCGGCGGCCGAAACTGTCGCCGCCGCGGGCCCAGGAGGCGGGCCCCGAGGAGCCGCCGGCGGCGGAGCTGGCCCTACTCCCGCCGCCGCCGCCCCCGACCCCGGCGACCCCGACGTCCTCAGTGTCCACGCTGGACCTGGGCGAGCAGCGGGAGCGCTGGGAGACGTTCCAGAAACGGCAGAGGCTTAACTTCGAGGGCGCAGCCAAGCTCCTGCTGGATACCTAGTGAGTGCGGCCGGGCCACCGGATCGCCCCTGCGCCGAGCCGGGCTCTCGGCTGCCCGCGTCCTTGCGGCCACCTCGGCTGTGCGTCCGCACCGAAGGGCGCTCGCGCGCGCCTCCAGGTTGGCGCCGGGTTTGGTCCCTAAGGCTCACGAGAGCCCGGGACCGACCGAGAGGGGCTTCGTGCGGAGCGCGTGCGAGGGCGCGCGTCCGCTCACCAGCGTCGTGCCGGAGACGCGGTCGCTTGTTCCAGCATGCGGTGGAGTGGGGATGAGGGCTTTCTTCGTAGAAAGGGTAGGAATCCCGCGACTCCCCGCATCCGCGAGTGATGAAGCGCGAGCACTTTTGAGTCGCCTGGGCAGCCGAGTCCCTTAATGTTCAGGGCGCTCTGGGAGCGCGGGCGCGAGCGCGGGATCGATCCCGAGGGAAGCGCGCGCGGCGCGGGGCGCGGGATGCAAGGTCCAGGTTTTGTTTTCTCCACTCGCCGGCCCGGGCTCCCGATGACTGGCTCTCCCTTCCGTCCTCCATCTATCTCTGCTTCTGCAGAAGAGCCTGCAACCTTGGCTGGGCAGACGAGCATCTCAGGGTCCATGATTTAGAGAAGAGCTGTTACCACTCAGCTCTCCAAGTCGGATGTGGAGCCCTGCCCCGTTCAGCCATTGTGTTACAGGGAGATATTTTAACACATTAGTAATATATTTCAGTGTCAATGATTTTATGAATCGAAAGAACAATCAAAATACCAGAGGAAAAATGATTTAGACAAGATTAACCTAACAGTTGCATAACAACCTGAGAATTACTCTTGAACAGCAGAAAATGTTCCTTTTATCCTTTTTCCAAAAGAAATAATCTTAATTTTGATGCATCTTTTAAGTAGTATTTATTTGGTTTTCTGTGTTCTTCATTATTTCATTATCGTTTCTTGACTATAAATTGAACATTTAAAAATATTTACCAAATATTTGTTGAGGACCTGTTGTGTGCCAGCCACTGCTCTGTAAAACAGACATAGGTCCTTAGAAATGTAGGACTGCTGGGCTCGGTGGCTCACATATGAGCCGTGGAGATCGGGAGAATCGTGGTTCAGGCTGACCTCGCACAAATGTCAGACCCTATTCTAAAAATAACTAAAGCAAAAAGGTCTGGGGGCCTGGCTCAAGTGGTAGAGTACCTGCCTAGCAGGCACACACAAGGCCCTAAGTTCAAACCCCAGTTTCTCCAAAACAACAAAAAACAAAACCCCAAAAACATTTGCATAAAAAGATGAGATGTTTTTCACCCAACAGTTTGGAATGAGTATGTACTGTACTTTATTTTTCTCTAGTCCATTAAATTTTGTGCAAAAAGTATGTAACACTGTACCGATTTTTGTTAAAATACTATTGTAGAAGAAAAAAGTTTGGGGCTGGAGATGTGGCTCTAGCAGTAGAGCACCTGGCTAGCTAATATGAAGCCTTGAGTTCAAACCCCAGTGGTATTGTGAAAAAAAGTTTTGAGGAATGTATAATCCATACATCTCATTGTGTAGATTACTTTGAATATTATCAAATATGAGTGATACAGTGTTTGTTTTTTTACAATAAACAGTATTGGTATGTGCAAGAAACTGAAATAAGTTAACTTATAAGGAAACCTAAAAAACCATTCAGTCTTAATCAAAAACATGGCAAATTAAAGCTGCACTGAGCTATTTTCCTGTGATTATTGCTCAAAAGGTTGTATCTTTTGAACTGTTTAATCATTATTGGCAAGAGTATTCAGTCCTTTTGGAAAGGGATCTGATTATTTCAAATCATATCTTTTTTGGCGGTATTGGGTTTGAACAAGCCTTTGTGCTTGCTGGGCAGGCGCTCTACCACTTAAGATGGAATCTTAATATTCACTTACAGGCCTGGCTCACATATGTCCTAAAAGGATTAAAACTGTATGAAATGTGTGCTTGCAGTTATGTAAAAAGTCACACATGAAGTATACTGGAGGAGAAAAATAAAATTATAAGAGCCCTTGTTACTGTCTCAGAAGGCTTTTCTTAGACCTGGTTGGGTACTTTTTCATAGCAGCCTCCACCATCTTTATCACAATTATAATTAAATATTATTTGGACCATTTGCTTGATGGTTGTTTATGCTCAGAAAGGCAGCAGTCATGTCTGCTGTATCTTGTTTACTGCTCTCCTTGGTGCTTAGCTTATACATTTTTTTACTAACCGGTTGACATAAAAAAAAAAATGTTTGGCTGGTGGGGTTAGGATCCTCCCCTCTGCCACTTTTTCTGAATCCTGGGAATGCTTTATTTTGCAATTTTAATAAAATTTAAGAAAGGAATACAGAGAGAGCTCCTGAACAAAGAAGGCACTGAACCCATTCTTTGGTGCCTCTTTAAGAAGCAGAAATGCATTTGGTTGTTCTATAGAACAAACTTTTGTCTCAGCCTGCCTTTCTTTCAACAACAAAAAGAGAGCCTGAGGGAGCCCATGCCATAAGGCCTCTGCCTGACTGTTGGAAATTCGCGTCTTTCTGGTTTTGTTTCCTTTAGTGAGTACCAAGGCCTGGTGAAGCACACAGGAGGTTGCCACTGTGGAGCAGTTCGTTTTGAAGTCTGGGCCTCAGCAGATTTACACATCTTTGACTGCAAGTGAGTATTTTCTCTTCCTAAATTGGCTTAAAAGAATTTAAGAGTTAAAATTCAGTGCTTCAAAATAATTTGGGGAGCTGGGTTATAGATAAAGCAACATTGATTATGAGCTGATAATTGTTGAAGTCAGGTGTTGGGTACATAAGTGTTCATTATTCTTTCTCCTTGTGTCTGGCTTAACGTTTCAATAATAATTTTTTTTTTAAAGATAGGAGGGAAGTTAAAAATAATGGCCTGACATGCTCTCTCTCTCTCTCTCTCTCTCTCTCTCTCTCTTCTCTCTCTCTGTGTGTGTGTGTGTGTGTGTGTGTGTGTGTGTGTGACAGAGCTCCTACAGCACAGCTCCAGTGATAGAGAGGAGGGTTCCGAGGGCTTGTTACTAACAGTCACCCCTCAAACTATGTTGATTTGGGGGTTGTTAGTTGGGAGATGTTAGCTGGACTGGGTCAGGCTGACTGCAGAGTGAAAGGCCTTAGGCAGAATCTTTGTAGGGAAGATAGGTAAATGAGTGGAGGTTGGGTTGAGCCAGAAGTTCCCCAGAAGTTCCCCATGTACTGGGTTTCTCTCCCTGCTTCTCTCCTTTTTTTTTTTTTTTTTTGATGGGGCTGGGGTTTGAACTTTTGAACTCAGGGCTTCCTGTTCTACTGCTTGAGGCACACTTCTACTTCATTTTTTTTTTTTTTTTTTTTGGTAGTACTGGAGTTTGAACTCAGGGCCTCATGCTTGCTTGGCAGGTGCTCTACCACTTAAGCTATTCCACTAGCCCTTCTAGTCCATTCTGCTCTGGTTATTTTGGAGATGGTGTCTCAAGAACTATTTGCTTGGGCTGGTCATGAATTGTGATCCTCCCAATGTTAGCCTCCCAAGTAGCTAGGATTATAGGTGTGAGACACTGGCCCCTGCCGTGCACTGGGTCTCTTGCTCTGTTCTTGGGATGAGGCAGATGGTATCACTGGCATCAGCGGAGGGCTGATTTCTTAGCACCTTCCCTGCCATTGCGATTGAGCAAGGATAACAGGCTTCTGGTCCAGTTGTGGACACGGACCTAATTATTCAACAGTATCCACACCTTTTGCCTCTACTTGGTACCTGAATTATCTCTCAACAGTAAACACTGTGCAGTTACTCAAATGGAGACCTGACTAGGTTGCTAATAGCGGAGTCCAGCTGTGGAAAGCAGCACTGTGGAGCAATTGTTAGAGGATCCTATAGGAGACTGAAGAGCTTGGGACATAGCTTGGTGGTAGAGTGGCTGCTGAGTATGTGCTAGGCCCTGGGTTCACTATCTCTAGTACCAAAAAAAAAAAAAAAAAAGGATCGAAAAGAGTGGATTTCAATTTAATTTCCAATTTAGCATTTTTAGGGACCTGTTTTACTTGGAGCTAGATTTTCTGATGTAGAAATGAGGAAAGAGGAAACCTTGTCCCTATTCCTTGTTCATTTTGGATGTGGGTGTCTTAGATGTCTTAGAGGTATAAGCTTAAAGCAGTCAGGCTGGCAAGGTGGCTCAAGTGGTAGAGCACTTGCTTAGCAAGCACAAGGTCCTGAATTCAACCCCTAATTTCACCAAAAAACCCAAAAAAGATGATAGCAATATCCAAAATTTGTTTTCTAAGTGACTTTAAAATCCAGTGTTTCCCTTCACTGTAATGAAGGAAACATCCAGTTGGTCCTGGATTGCTGAGTGGGGTGGGGTCTCTGCTGCCAGCTGTGGCACTGAGGGGCTTTACTGCCATGTAGAACAGAGACCCCAGGTGGCCGTCTGTCTGTCTCAGCTCCCCTTCCGTGCACAGTGCTGGAAGGGGAGACTATCTGAGGTCACCTGGTTCTCTAATCATCAGCTGGACCACATGGGCACCCAGAATGCAGATGTCTGTTCACAATCTGGAATTCCCTCTGTCTTTCTTTAGCTGCAGCATTTGCAAGAAGAAGCAGAATAGACACTTCATTGTTCCAGCATCTCGATTCAAGCTCCTGAAGGTTAGTGCTGAAACTAGGGAGGGCAGAACCCATGTGCAAGGATTCATGAACCCTCACTTCTAGTGTGCTCTTTGTAGAGTGTGAAGGGTAGGGAGCAGAGCAGAGCCTCTCAGAGGCTCTTTTTTTTTTTTTTTGGTAGGATTAGGGTTTGAACTCAGGGCTTTATGTTTGCAAAGTAGAAGCTCTACTGCTTGAGCCATGCCTCCAGTCCATTTTGCTCTAATCATTTTGGAGATGGAGTCTTGTGAACTATTTACCCAGACTGGCCTTGTACTCAATCCTCCCAGTCTCAGCCTCTCAAGTAGCTACGATTATAGGCATGAGACACTGGCATCCAGCTTTTTTTGAGACAGGTCTTGCCATGTATCACAGGCTGGCCTTGAAACTATCTTCAGGCCTCAGGCTCCACAGTGGGTGGATTACAGGTGAATGCTACCATGCCCAATTTCCTCTAGTTTTTGAAGACATATTGATATTATTGTGGAAACATTTTCAAATTCAGACAGTCAAAAAATAAAATCAGACCTGGGTATGGTAATATATGCTTGTAATTCCAGTTATGAAGGAGGCCAGCCCTGGACAAAAAAGCATGAGATCCAATTCAAAAAATAACTAAAGCAAAAAAGGGCTTGGGGGTGTGACTAAAGTGGTAGAGCGCCTGCCTAGCAGTCATGAGGCCCTGAGTTCAAACCCCGGTCTCACCAATAAATAAATAAAATCAGCCCAAAGGTAACCAACGTCAAGGGTAATACTGTTAGTATTTTGGTGTATGTTCTTGTGTACTGTTTTCTGCACAGATAAATACATATAAATGCAGTCACTTTTTGTGAGACTAATATGAGGTCTTGCTGTGTTGCCCAGGCTGGCTCCTGGACTTCTAGGCTCAAGGGATCCTTCTGTTTCAAACTCCTGAGTAGCTGGAACTATAGGTGTGTACCACTGTGCTGGCTTTTTTGTCATATATTTTTATCAAAGTAGGATATAACCCACCCTGGGAACATAGCAACATAGTGAGACTCTGTCTCAAAAAAGAAAAGGATATATCCATTCTTTCTGTCTTATAACCTACTTTTATTATTTCCCAGTGAAAACTTACATAATATCTTTTTTTTCTTTTCTTTTGAACTCAGGGCCTCAGGCATGCTAGGCAACCACTCTGCCATTGAGCTCACTCCCTGCTCATATCATTTTGGGGAGTTTTTGGTACTTGGTACAGAGTTTGCAAAGTAGAAGGAGCTATGTGTATTGCTAGTGAGAAGTTCTCCCTCCACTGTCCCCAGCCCCAGTTCCCCCTCCTGTGCAGCCAGTTTCCTAGTTCACTTGTCCCTTCACTCCTGTATTTGCAGCAGTGAACTTCAGGGTCAAGTCTAGTTTTTTCCCAATTATAAACAACACTGTGATGAACTTCCTTATTAAAGACTGACAATTTAGAACATTTTTCTTTAGGATCGATTCTCTTAGAAATAAACTCTGGACTTCATCTCCAAAATAATCAGAGGAAAAAATGGACTGCCGGTGTGGCTCAAGTGATAAAGTGCTTTGCAAACATGAAGCCTCAGTCCCACACACACATACAAAGAGAAAAACAAAACAAAACACAAAACTCTGAATCAGAAAAGACAAACTTATTAAAAAAAAAAAAGGCTTTTAGCACATTCTAGATAATGTGGGATGGAGCTGGGCTTTAATTCCATCTTCTGCTCCCACTTTTCCCATTGTGGTCTCATTGGCTTCTCTGAGCCTATACAGGAGTTTGGTGTAACCATCTGTCTCCTTTGCAAGATAGCATGTACCTCCAGGGCGGGGCCCACCTTTTTCCATGTCTGAGCTGGCTCCTGGCCTGCTAGGGCTTGGTGTCGAGTAGGTGGTCAGTAGCTTCCTAGGAAGTGGATGGTGGCATTAGTCTTGATCTTTCCCCAGGATGAGATTTAATCCTTAATGTGGTAGGTCAGTTTATCTTCTTTTCTATCTCTCCATTCTCTCTCTTTTTCTTTCTTCTGTTCTCCGCCTCTGCCTCCACCTCCACCTCCACCTCCGTCTTTCCTTGCTATGCTGCCCAGGCTAGTCTCAAGCTCTTAGGGTCAAGCAGTCTTCCTGCCTCAGCTTCCCAAGTAGCAGGAACTGTAGGCATGAACTACCAAGCCCGTCTTTGTCTCCTTTTCTTTGCCTGCCCTTTGATCCTTGAACACCTTGCTTACTGTGACTGTCTGGTGGTGAGGAGGTATGCCAAGTGGGTACCATACCTGTCCCTCATCTTTCCTGTAAGGCAGAAGTACACCAACATGTGTCTTCCATTGCCTGCTCAAGACTGTGGTTCTCTCCCGACCCCCCAGCTTTTTCTCTAAGCACCCATGATGGAAGGTGCCTGAAGACACCACCAGGTGTAATCCTGGGCTCAGGGGTCAGAAATTGGGGCTCGGGGGTTTTCTTCCTCATTAGGTCAGCTCATCCACATTTTTCCTGGTGCAGTAGGGCACTGTTCTCTTCCTCGTCTTCAACCCATTGAAGGAGCAATTTTCTGTTTGTATTAAGGTAAATACAAAACATCCATTTAAGTACTTTTATGGGGTACCTGTGTGCCAGCTATTGTTCCACTGACACATAGCAGTTAACACAGTAGACAAAGCCACTGTTTTCCTGGGAAGACAAATAAAAAAGAAAGAGGTCTGAGAGTACAAGTGCTATGTAGAGATTAAAGTCAAGTGGTATGATGGAGAATAACTGGGTGGTTACTTTGGATTGGCTAAGGACAGTCCCTCTGTGGTGATCTCCTCAGAATGATGAAGACGGTGGTGGGTAAGGGCGGCACGTTGCGGAGCTAAACAGTAGCCATTGTGGCTGGTGGGTGGTTGATAGGACAAGAGTTGGGGAAAGTAGCCTGAGACAGGGTTGGAGAGATAGGTGGGACTTGATAAGCAGGCAGATTTTCTGCTTTATGTAGTTTGAGGCCCATGGAGGATTTTAAGCCGGGTAGTGACAAGGCCTGATTCAATATTTTAATGTTTCCCAGCTCCCTAGGGCTACTGTATGGAGAGTAGGTTGTAAAGGAGGTGAGTGTGGATGCAGGAAGCAGGAGGTAGTGAGGGCAGGCCACACCAGAGGTAGTGGAGCTTAGATTGGGATGGTAGTCACGGGCATGGAAAGAAAACAGATACCTTATAGACATGGACACACGTTCTTAGTGTGTGCACAAGTGCCTGGAGGGCACATCAGCCAGACTGTGGGCCTCATTTCTTGTTTTGTAGGTCTGGGCTGGGGCCCAGACATTACCATTTTTACAAGTTCCCAGATGAGGGTAATGCTGCTAGTCTGGGGACCACACTTTAAGAACCAGTATTACAGAGTTCTGAAAGGATTGGATGTGAAGATGTGGAAAAGAGAGAGGAGTCAAAGTTGAATCCAAAATGGTGGGCCTGAGCACATCTAGCTGACAGAGATGATGGATTCTACGGGACGAGCACGTGTGGGTAGGTGGGGTAGTGGAATCAAGAGTTGTGTTTTGAACAAGTTTGGATGAAGGTCTCTTTTGAACATTTATACTGAGATGGGAAGTGAGCAGCTGGATGTACAAAGTGTGGGTTCTGAGAGATCAGAGTTGGAGCTACCACTTGGGATTTGTTGATAGACTGATGTTTGGGGCTAGGGACCATGTGAAGTCAGCTGGGAAGATGTAGCCAGAGCAGGGAGAGGCCTGAGGACAGCTCTGGGCCCACCAACATTTATTGAGAGCTGAACAGAAGAGGAAGAGAAGCAAAAGGGCTGGAAGAGGATGGCCTGTGGGGAAGGAGATAAAACAGAAGAGTGTGGTGTCCTCAGGGGCAAATATTTTAAAATGGAAGGAATGCTACAGAGTCCAAGTTAAGAAGAATCCAGTGGTCAAGAGATGTGGCCATTGTGACCAATATGGTGGTCATTGGTGATACCTCCTTGGGCAAGAAGTGAGAAGAAATGATCAAAAAGGTTAGCATAGAGCAGATTTTGATGCTGAGAGGCCATGTGTTCTACAGGGGAGCAGGGAATATGGGGTCAGAATGATGGATGCACAGAGTTTGAGGACCTGGGTGTTCCTGGGTGACCTCTAGTAATAAATAAGGTAAAGCAGAATGTGAGGCATCTTATGATTTCTTCTGAGGGATAACTCTGGATGGTCTGGGACCACTTACACGGCAGTTATCTTTGCTGCTTCTGTGGTGTCCTGGTCATGGAGTGAGAAAAGCCTCTCTGGGGAGTTGTTTTTTAAGAAGCTCCTGACAGCATGTGCTTGTACTTACAGCTGCTTGGGAGGCTGAGGCAGAAGGCTCTCTTGAGCCCAGGAATTTAAACTAGCCTGACAACATTGTGAGGCCCTATCGTTTAAAACAAAGCAAAAGCCAGGCACTGGTGTCTTGCTCCTGTAATGCTAGCTACTTAGGTGGCAGAGATCAGGAGGCTTGTGTTTTGAAGCCAGCCTGGGCAAATAGTCTGCGAGACCCTATCTCGAAAATACCCAACACAAAAAAGGGCTGGTGGAGTGGCTCAAGTGGTAGAGCACCAGCCTAGCAAGTGTGAGGCCCTGAGTTCAATCCCCGGGACTGCCATCAAACATAAGAAGGTCAGAGTTTACAGGCTTTTTTCTCTTGTAGTGTTGGGTAGTGCCTAGTAGTTGGGGCATATTCCCTTTTGTGGCCATTGCTGAAGTGGCAGTGGCCAAAATGAAGTTCAATCCCTTTGTGACTTCTAACTGAAGCAAAAAACATAAAAGGCATTCCAGTGCACTGTCCCCATGTGCAGGAAGATTGTGCCTCCCCTTTTCCCAAAGGGCAGAGACAGAAGTACAATCCACGCCCTCCGAAAGCATGATGACACTTGGGTTGTACGAGGGCACTGTAAAGGCCAAAGGTTTACCGGAAGACATATGCCATCTACACTGAACAGGTGCAGTGGCACAACTGGCCATGTGGACGTTCACCCCAGCAAGGTGGTTACACAAGGCTAAAACTGGACAAAGCCCACACAAAGGTCCTGGAACGGAAAGCCAAATCTCGCCAAGTTGGAAAGGAAAAGGGCAAATATAAGGAAGAAACAATTGAGAAGATGAAAGATAAAGTAATCTTTCATTAAAAACTGCTTAAGTGAAAAAAAAAATTAAAAAGGTGTAGCAGTGATAAGAAACCTCACCCCTACCATTTAGCTGCACAATTTTCCTCCCTGGAGGAAAATCACAGTTTCTTGGATACTTCTTCAAATGTTTATATGTATATAAAAGCACATACAACTATATATCCTTTCTTACAAAATAGAAATAGTAGTATACTGTATCAGCCTTTTTACTGAGTGGTGCTGGGGATAAAACCCAGGGCCTTGAGCACATACTTTACCACAGAGCTATATCCCAGTCTGTTTTTTGTACCTTTTTTTTTTGTTTTTTTATACTTTGTAACCTTGGAGATTGCCTCTTCTTAGCACTAGCAGTCACTCTTCCAACTTTGCAGAATGCTGCATTTTATGAGTGTCCACAATAGCTTGAGCCAGTTTTCTGTTGATAGACATGTTGTTTTTTCCACCTGTACTTCTAAACAGCGCCGTACTGTTTCTCTACGTACCCATCAATCCTGTGGTTAATCACCTTTTTGATTTTTTGAAAATTTATTTTTTTCCCTTTTTTTTTGGTGGTACTAGTATATGAAGTCAGGGCCTCACACTCCCAACCCAGATTTTTTATTTTATTTTTTTCCATCTGACAGTGAACAATATCTCATTGCAGTTCATTACTGTGAGCACCACTTTACATTTAAAGAGAGATTTGTGTTTTTTCTTTTCTCTGAACTCTCTGTCCTTTGCCCATTCTCCTATTTGTCCATTAAAGAAATTAACCATTAAGGAAATTAGCCATTTGTTTATGACGTCTAGCAAAGATTTTTTTTCCTAGCTTGCCCTTTGTACATTAATTCAAGTACAGTGAGTAGTTTTCTTAAGACCTTGAGCAATGCTGTATGGGGACAGGGACAGTCATTCCCCTGAGAAGCTGGCATTTTTACTCCCTGACTTGGACAGGGTATTCCGTCTTGTCGTAGATTAAGAAAGGTTTGTGGCTGGATTGTTCCAGTGCAGTTGACTTAAGAAGAGCCATGGGTGGTCATGCACAGTGATGTGTCTCAGGGTAGTGTGGATGGTCCCTTCCTCAAGAAGCTTCCAAGTCTTGCTGGGTGCTAGTGGCTCACGCCTGTAATCCTAGCTACTCAGGAGGCAGAGATCAGGAGGATTGTGGTTCAAACCCAGCCCTGGGCAAATAGTTTATGAGACCCTATCTCAAAAAAAACCCATCACAAAAAAAAGTGCTGGTGGAGTGGCTCAAGGTGTAGGCCCTGAGTTCAAATCCCGGTACCACAGGAAAAAAAAAAAAAAGCTTCCAGTCTTTTCTGAGAAATGGAACCTGTCTTCAGAATTCCAGGAGCCATATAGAAAGGCTCTCCCCATTCATCTTTTTAAAAGACTTACTTTTAAAATAACATAAAATATAATCTCTGTAAAAAGAGAAAGTCCATTTGTTTATGTTCACCTAGGGAGCTGAGAGCATAACCACTTACACGTTCAACACGCACAAAGCCCAGCATACCTTCTGTAAGAGATGCGGTGTTCAGAGCTTCTATACTCCCCGCTCCAACCCTGGAGGCTTCGGTGAGTAAAGGGAGTGGACTGCAAGCTCAGGTTGGTGAGAGACCCTGGGGTGTTCTGGTTCAAGGGCTGGTTGGATGGGAGGGAACTGGTGTATTTGGCATGCCTCCTGCCTGGCCAGGCGCTTTCACAGGCATGTGTTAGAAGAACAGTGCCCTTTGTCACAGCTCTTTTCCTGTGGTAGAATAAATCCCTGAGTCCCATATGGTAAAGTCTTTGTTTGAGGTCATGGTTCTCGCTCACTGGTGCTGCAGAGCTTGGGGAGGACACTGATGGCCTATGGGCCTGGAGAGGCTGCTGGAATGATGACTGGGATAAAGGGAGTAAAGGAGGCAAGAATGAGGACTATTGCTAATAGCATTTAAAAAAAAAATTATGAGCTGGGGATGTAGCTCAGCATTAAAGCACCTGCCTGGCATGTGTGAGGCCCTGGGTTTTGATCCCCAGCAATGCCCAAGAATGAATGAATAAATACATTAATGAAGTTTGCTAAAAAAAGCAGCAGGAGAACTTCTAAGGCCTTCGTCAGGTCCTGCTTGGGTAGGGAGTGGGAACTGTCCTAAGGCAGTTCTTTGGAATAATACTAAGTGCAGTGTGAAGTGAAGGGAAACCAGAGGTTGACAATGTCCCTGTGTGGACACAGCCTCTGGAGCTGTGACTGTGTTGTCATTTGTCTGCTGGGAGAGGGGTTGATACCACTCTGGCCCTCCTCACTCCATTTCTTGAGTTGGTCCTATTGGCTCCTCATCTGCCACATCTTGCCTGTCTTGTGGAACAAGAACGGGTTATGAGAAGTATAAAATTCTTGCAGCTGGGCGTCAGTGGTTCATGGCTCTAATCCTAGCCACTTGGGAGGCCGAGATCAGGAGGATTGAGACTTGAGGCCAACTAGGAAAATAGTTCACGGGACCCCCCATCTCCAAAATAACCAGAACAAAACGGACTGGAGGTTTGGCTCAAATGGTAGAGCACCAGCTTTGCAAGTGCAGAGCCCTGAATTCAAACCCCAGTCCCACCAAAAAAAACCAAAACCAAAACCAAAACAAACCTGTGAAACAGAAATGTATTTAATTCTTAGAAAGTTCATCTAAACACAGGAAAGGCCTGAGAATTCTTCAGGCTGCTGGTTAAGAGATTGTGCAAAGCCATCTTTCTACTATCTTTTACTCTTAGTTTTTGAATGATGTCCAGCCACTGGTCTCCATTTGGCAGGTGAGGACCATGAACGAGAAGGCTGAAGTCATAAGCCATAACCAGGACCTTTTTAGCACAGCAGGCTGCAACATCAGTCTCAAACTAAGGTCTTAAGCTGGAGTGTCAGCTGACAATGCTGACAGGGATTTGTCCAAGTCAATATAGTCTCTGATCTCATCCTTGCTTGGGATTTCTGTTTTCTCTGTGCCACTTGCCCCTAGGAATTGCCCCACACTGCCTGGATGAGGGCACTGTACGGAGTGTGGTCACTGAAGAGTTCAATGGCAGTGACTGGGAGAAGGCCATGAAGGAGCACAAGACCATCAAGAACATGTCGAAAGAGTGAGCTTCTGCCTTCCTGACAAGGAGGATGAGTGGGGTCAGCAGGTCCGTAGGCCCTGTGACACCTTGATGGTGCCCTGATGTGACTGGCCTTTGGTTTCTCCAGTTTGCTCTGGCTACCAGTTTCGTTAGGCAGCTCTTTGTTCTTCCTCAGCTCAAATTTTGACATAGAATAGTTGATCCTCTTCCTTCTTTTCGCCAACTTTTGTGTGATCTTTTAGAAAATAAATATTTTTAACATTAATGTAGTTGCTATGGTTCCTCATTTCCTTTGAACTTTGATTTTTGCCCCTGAGGCCTGTCATATCACAGGTATTTATTGAGCACTGTCAAGATGCTTGTAGCCAAATTAGGAAGAAGGGATAAGATAAATGAAGAGCAGTTACAACTGTGAGATGATGAATGATCACAGTGCATGTGAGTTGTGAAGATGTGAGTTCTAGGAGTTCAGAGGAGACAAGGCTAGTTCAGGAAGACTTTATGATGTGAGTCTTTTTGTTTGGTTTTTAAGAGGTTTTTTTTGGGTGGTGGGACTGGGGTTTGAACTCAGGGCTTTGTATTTGCAAAGCAGGCGCTCTTCCACTTGAGCCATCCTTCAGTATATTTCACTCTGATTATTTTGGAGATAGGGTCTTGCAAGCTATTTGCCTGGTTTGGCCTTGAACCAAAATCCTTCTGAGCTCAATCACAGGTTTTCTTTTGGTAGTAACAGGGGTTGAATTTAGGGCCTCCTGCTTGCTAGGGAGGTGATGTACCACTTGAGCCACTGCACCAGTCCTAGTATTTTTCTTTTTAATTGTGGCAAGTACATGTAGCATAAAGTGGAGCTTAGCCACTTTTTAAATGTATAGTTTGGGGCATTAGTACATTCAGACTGCTGGACAGCCGTCATCACTAACCACCTTCACAATTCTTCATCTTGCGGAAGTGAAGCTGTGTCCCCGGTGAACAGTAACTTTGAGTTTATTTTTACCTTTTAAAATTTTTTTCTTGGCAGTGCTGGGGATTGAACCTAGGACCTCATGTATGCTAGGCAAGGCAGGAGAAGTAACTGTGAATAGAGACACCGGCATGTCCTGAATTGGAGGCTTGTGATGATGGGAGGAAGTGATGGACCAGAAAGGTCTGAAACCAGATCCGGGACAGTCCCAGGCTTTAGTCTTAGGAATTTGGCTTTTATTTTATGGTCATTGGGAAGTTAGAACAGCTTTAAGTAAGATGAATAAAGCCATAGTATAATGCAGTGTTTTCATTGGTCCTTGCTTCCCTCTCTCCTTGCTTCATATTTCAATCAGATTAACTTTCCTAAAACATTGTTTTCATTACCAAGTACTGAAAATATACACAGTGGTAAATGCTTAATAAACATTTGCTCTTTGCTTTGGGAAGACTAATCATGAGACGATTTCTAAACTAGAAAATAGGAAAAGGGACAGAGAAAAGAAATAAAGATGGCCAGTTCCTTGACTTGCTGGGCTGGAGTCCCATGCAGTTATCACCCAGCCAGAGTCACTGTCAGCCCTTGGCTGACAGCCTTATTCACACTGAGGTTGGAAGGAGTTGAGCAACACACAGGAAATGGATTTCCATGGTCAGAACTCCAGGTATTTAAAATTTTTATGCAGGCAAGACATGAATTATGATCTCAGATTTACCTTTCCTATTGCAATATTATATGTAAAAATGCATTGTTTTGTGTATCTTTTAAAAACATGAATGGCAGGAGGGAGTGGTGCCTCATGTCTATAGTTCCAGCAACTCAGGAAACTGAGATTCAATGATTGCTTAAGTACAGGAGTTCAAGTCCTGCCTGGGCAACATAGCAAGACTTTGCCTGTAAATAAATAAATGGTGAAGCTGGGGTGTAGCTCAGTGGTAGGGTGTATGTTTAGCATGTCCCAAGCCCTGGGTTCGATATCCAGTACCCAAAATAAATATGTGGTAGAAACATAAATTACATAATTTATTCTGCCATTTGCATTTCTTATTTAAAAATGATCTTTTCTAACTGGGCGCCAGTAGCTCATGCCCATAATCCTAGCGACTCAGGAGGCAGAGATCAGGAGGACTGTGGTTCAAAGCCAGCCCGGGCAAATAGTTCTACGAGACTCTATTTCAAAAATACCCATCACAAAAAAATGGATGGTGCAGTGGCTCAAGGTGTAGGCCCTGAGTTCAAGCCCCCAGTACTAAGGGAAAAAAAAATCTTTTCTTATCAATGTACATGTCCTCATTAATTTACATAAAATGGCATGATACAGATATAGTTTATGTAACCATTCTTTTTCACAGAAATTAGGCTGTTTCCAGGTTTTTCTATTACAAAGAATGTTGACAATAAACATACTTTTGTGTTTGTTTTGCTCTTTTGTGTGTTTTGTTTTTTTTAGACAGGGTCTCACTGTTAGAGCAGGTTGCCCTTGAACTTACGATCCTCTTGCCTTAGTCTCCTGAGTACAGGCATATGCCACCACCCCCAGCTAATGAACATTCTTTTACATAATTCTTTATATGCATGGGTATCATATGAGAACACAGAAATGGAATTGGCAGGTTGAAGGCTAAGCATATTTTAAATCTTAAAAAACCCTTCTGTACTGCTTGGTGTGGCAGTACACACTTGTAATCCCATCTCTGAAGGCCGAGATAGGAGGACCACAAATTAAGAGTCCAGCTTGGGCCACATAACAAGTTCAAGATCAGCCTAGACAACATAGCAAGACTCTGTCTCAAAAAGAAAATAATAAAAAATCTAGTTGCCTTCAGAAAGTGAACACCAGCATATAATGGGCACCAGTCCTCAGTACAGCAGAGTGACCTCACCAGCATCTGATGTTATCAGTCTTTTTAATTGTCACCACTCTTGGTCAAAAAAGTTTCATGTAAAAAACTTCCATTACTTGCGAGCCTGGTGGGGTGGCTAAAGCAGTAGAGTGCCTGCCTGGGAAGTGTGAGGCCATGAGTTCAAACCCCAGTTCTGCCAAAAAAAATAAAAAGTCCCTTACTGTAATCACCTGAGATTCAGTACCTTTTTTTATGTTTTGGGGTCATTTTATTTCCTGTCTTGTCAGTTGATTATGTCCTTTTATTTTTAAAGCCATTTATTAAAAAAATGAATTATTAATACATTTATATTTGAAGTTCTTTATTATCTTAAACATAGTAATCCTTTGTCATATTTTGCAGATATTCTCTTTGTAGAGTGAAAAAAAATTTTTTTGTGGTACTGTGGTTTGGACTCAGGACCTTACACTTGGCCTCACGGTTGCTGTACTGTATCACTTGAGCCACATTTCCAGTCCTTTGCTTTTAGTTTCTCAGACAGGCTCTCCCACTCACTAACTTCCCAGGGCTGGCCTTGAACCTTCATCTTCCTGTCTCCACCTTCTGAGTAGCTGGGATTACAAGTGTGTACCACCATGCCTGGCTTGAGTTTTAATTAAAAAAAATTTTTTTTTTTGGTTAAACCTGGGCCTCAAGCTTGCTAGGCAGGCAATCAACCACTTGAGCCATTCCACCAGACCTTTTATTTTTTTGTAATGGGTATTTTAGAGACAGGTTCTCAGTTTTTGCCTGGGCTGGTCTCGAACCACGATTCTCTGGCCTCCGATCTTCTTGCCTCCTGAGTATTTTAGGATTACAGGCGTGAGCCTCCGGTGCCTGTCTTATTGTTCTCTCTCACTTTGTGAGCTTGCCCCTCAACATAGTGTGGGTTATGATGAGGGAGGATGCCCTGCATCTCTGGCTTGTTGACTTAGCAGTTTTAGCATCTATGAGTAAAATAATAAGGTTTTCCTTTTGATTTTTTGATGGAATGAATTAGGTTGATGGAATTCCCAAAGTGGAACCATTCTTGCATTCCTGGAATAACACCCTACTTGGTCATCAACTAGGGATTCTTTTGATGTACTGTTGAATTCAATTTGCTATTTTTTAAAAACATTTTTGCATCTATATTCACAAAATTTGTCAGTGATTTTCTTTTTTTGTGGAACATTGTATTTCATCTGAATCAGAGAGTTTCTATTTTGTGTTTTAAATTACATTGGAATTATCTTTAGACAGGAGTAAACCCATCTAAGCTGGGAACCTTTTTAAATTAGTAAATCTATTGCAATTGTCTTTTTAGTTCTCCTATGATTACTGGGTTTATCTTTTGTTTGTTTGTTTGTTTGTTTTCTTGTGGTACTGAGGTTTGAACTCAGGGCCTTCACTTTAAGCCACTCCACCAGCACTTTTTTTGTGAAGGGTTTTTTAAAAATAGGGCCCCATGAACTATTTGGCTGGGCTGGCTTTGAACTGCGACCCTCGTGATCTCTGCTTCCTGAGTAGCTAGGATTACAGGCGTGAGCCACTGGCACCCTGCATTGTTTGATTTGTTTTTGAGACAGGGATTTGCTTTGTAGCCCAGATTAGGTCTGAACTCATTTTGTACCCCCAGGTGACTTGGGAATTGTGATCTTCCTGCCTCTACCTCCCAAGTGCTGGGATTACTTAGTGACTTTCACCTTTTTAAGAGTACCTTTTAGTCCTGTAAAAATCTCCTTAATAAAGTGTCCAGCCATTGTGGTGGGCACCAGTTTCCTGACTAATCCCTGTTCTCAAATGGTGACAGGCTGAAGCTCTTCCTGGGGTGAAGGGTTGGGAAGGCATTCACCTGAAAGTGATCATCTAGCTAGGACTTGTCCGGTTTAATGTTAGTATCTTTTCCTTTGGAAGGACTCAACAAATGGAGCAGTCCAAAGCTGTCTGGTGGAAGGAGACACTGGTAGTCCAGGGTCCAACCTGTACAAACCCTGGCTCTCGTCTCTCTTTCCTCCTGCCCCTGCCCCAGACATTTAGGTTGTCCCGAGCCTCACAGCACAGGTTTCTTTCAGACGAGAACGCCACACACTGACTGCTACAGGAAATCCGAGCTGGGCAGTGCCACCTGCAGGTCATGCGTGCACGTGTTTGATGCAGATGCAAGTCCCTGGGAGAGAAGAGCTGGTTTTCAGTAATATTGCAATAATGCAACCTTTTCATGGGATTGAAATGTTTGGACCCTATGTATTACATTGTGCTAGGGTTTTGTGGTATTGAGATATTTTCTTGGGAAATCATCTATTTCCTCTAGAGTTCCTATATTGTTGCCCTGGACTTGCGTATAATTTTTTCAGTGTTTCACTTTGTGGCAGTTTATCCATTCTGTATTAATAACTGCACTATTTTGTTTTATTTTATTATTTGTTTTGCAGTACTGGGGCTTGAACTCAGGGCCTACATCTTGAGCCACTCCACCAGCCCTTTTGTGTGTTGGGTATTTTTTGAGATAGGGTCTCTCGAATTATTTGCCTGGGCTGGCTTTGAACTGCGATCCTCCTGATCTCTGCCTTTTGAGTAGCTAGGATTACAGACATGAACCACTGGTGCCCGGCATAACTGTACTTTTGTTTTCTCTTTTTCTTAACTAGAGTTTCCATGTGTTGACTTATTTCATTTTTTAAAGGAAATTTACTTTCTTTTCCACTATTTTTTTTCCACTTATAGTGCCTTTTATCT